AAAAAAATAAAAAAAAACTATGTAGAGTAAAAAGAACAAAAAATGAGAATGGGGGGAGGAGGAGGAGGATAGGGCTGCCATAAGTGCTCATAAAAACGCAATAGAAAAAGAGATAAAGAGAAACAGATTAGTGTCTGTAGATATAGATATAGATATAGATTTCTTTCGAAATTATGTATTATAATACTTCTTTTAGTAGCCCCTACAGATCTACACAATCTTTCAAAATTTTAGCTTACCCTTAAGCAAATCCAGCCCCCCAATTTTCATCCAATAGTCTTAATTGATTGTCAGACTTATCAACCATTTTGAGCATGCCAGATGAGAGACTATTTCTATATGTTTATAGATGTATTTCAAATAAATAGATATCTTATTTTGATTGGGCATGTTCTATTGGATTTCAAAAATTCATACCCGAACCCACCAAACAAAATGTTTGCAGGTGGGCAACACTCTATCTATTCGGTTTAAAGTAGATCCAATCCAATCCAGATTTAAACTTAGTAGATATAATTGATAAGTTATTTGAATCACCGAGTTCTTTTGAATAGCCCTAACAACAATGCATGTCAGTTTTAACTCAAACCGCCTAATAAGGTTCTTTTTTCTCTCTCTTTCCTTGCATAACATTTCGGGTCCGTTTAGTTCATGTATTTAAATCAATAATTCTTGATTTTAACATTTAAAATTTAAATATTTTATGAGAAAAAAATATTATAACAGAATCAAAATAATAAATTTAAACGCGCAAAACAAACGAACCCTTCATTTTTAATAGCCCCCTCCTTAGCAGCCGCAGAAGTATCTTCCTCCTCTCACAAAAACCTTAGATGCCCCTATTCTCCCTCTTAATTTCTTTCATGTTGTCACGTTAGCCTTTCCCACCGCTAGATTTGCTATGCAATTCTTCAGAAGCCTGCGTCCCTCCATCACTAGTAAGACTAAATTTTAAAATAATTTAAAAATGCAAATGTTAAACATATCAACTAATAGAAAGTAAATGTTAAATTTATCATATGTTACATTTAACGGTAAATTTATCACAAAAATATAGCATATGATAAATTTAGCACAATAATCACATTGTATTGGAGAATGTCTTTAACACTATTAATTTTCAATTCAATTCTTAATTCTATTCAAGTTCAACCTTAGCTCTCTCACTGGTAACTCTCTCCCCATTCAATCGCTGCCCCTTTTTCACAGACCTCTATTTTTTTTTTTATTGTTGTAATATTATTAGTTAATAGTTATCCACTTTTATTTTGTATTACATGTTATTGTTGTTCATTACTTTTGTAATTCTAGTTTTAAAGAACGATATGTAACATGTTGATTAGTGCATTAAATACTACTTTTAATTTATATAATATTAAAATATTTAAGTTTTAATTAAATAATTCTATTATTTTTATTCAGAATATTTTTCATTGAAATTTGTCTAGTTTTTGCTTAATTAATTATAGATAAAAAGCAGTGTGAGAAACTACACAAGAAAAAGCCATGAAAGCCATATTTTCAGCCAATCCGAGCCACACAAGCCGTTCAGGGAGAGATAGTCGCGCCTCTTTCAGCCGAGTCGTGAGTCCCCATCAGTCAACGCGGAAATCCGCGCCTAAATTCTTCCCACCATCTCACGTTGAACGCACGTCACCATCACGCAAGAACCCAGGGCGCGCGTTTGCTCTCCGCGTGGTCTCTAGCACGTCCGAGTCTCCAATCGCGTGGGCCCCGCAAGTCAGTACGACTCCCTGCTTGTCCAGTAAGCCCGCACCAGCTATCCACCGTGGATCCCACACCTGCGATGCCAGCTTGCTTCTCTCCTCTGCGCGCGACATCTGTCCCCTAGCTGTCCTCCACTCTAACTCCGCGCCAACACACTCCAACCACTCTGAGCACGACACGTGGCGAGTTGACTCCATCCTTCCAATCGTAACGCGACATGTGTCTTATATGATGCTGAATCCGAATTTCTTTCCCAAAAATCAGAGCAAATTATCGGATTTCTTCCTCAAATTAAATATATGATTTCTCATAATTTATGTATACTTTTATTTTGTTTCCTTTTCTTTTGGAATTTTTTATTTTTCTTATTTATTTCCTTATTTGACAGGTAACCTTTGAACACTATAAATAGAGGGGTTAGCCTAAGGTTTTCAAAAGCTTTGAATATTCAGTTTTTTGTCATATTGCTGTCAGTCCCATATTTTCTCTCTAGAACTTGTGAGAATGTTTTGCAAGCTAGGCTAGAGTTCTCTTGATGAGGTTAGAGATGAACTTTTGTTAGTGACCCACTTCGGGCTTTTGATTCATTGTGCTGTAAAGTTCAATATCTAAATGAATTAAATCTCATCTATCTTTCTTTTACTTTTTAAAATATTGTGTGTCAATTTTTATATAAGTTTAGTCACGCTTTTCTTATGTAATTCTGTCATCCATTGTTTTGTTATTCAAATTATTTTGTAAATTGTCTTTTACTGTAATATTGTCAAATTGATATATTATCGATTTTGGATAACTTGTAATGATAATATTTTCGGAGTCAACATAGAGATTTAATTTATTCAATCCTTTTATTTTGTGAATCAAAACTTAAATTGGTGAACGAAATATTAGAGATTCTTGACCTTTACCGTTTTTACTACTGAATTTTCTACATACAAATTCTCTCCTTTTTATTTGCAACAAAGTCTCATAAACTCTTCTTTTTATTAATTTACTTGTTATTTATTTTTCTCTAACGCTCTTATTCTGCTAATCTTTCTTGTTATTTTGTTATCTCTCTGTGGATACGACCGCTTTTCTGTGCTACAATTGACCGTTTGTAAACATTACTTTTGGGCGTTAATCACATGTGATTTTGTTAAAAAAACACAAATATAACAGTTCAAACCACGACTTAATCAGACCAAATCATTCTAAAATAGCCTATTCCAGTTTGGATTTTTTTAAACAGCTAAAAACAATTCAATCTGAAAACCTAACTCTTTGGAACTGAACCGGAACGTGAACAACCATACGCCTAACAATCTGCCTTCACCCTGCTTCTAATTCGTCCAACCTACTTATTGGACATTTTTGAGTTAAGGGGTTTTAGAGATTTTAATATCCTACAAACAACCTGTTAACCGCTCATTACCTGATAAATTGTTTTTTTTTTTTTTTTTTCTCTAATGTACCCAGTGAACCGTTTATGCACATTAAAAGTTAGGGAATTTATCTGGTACAACATGAAAAAATAAAGAGCATGTTCTTTTAATTAACTCAAATCACAATTTAAATTTTTTGTTACAGTATTTTCTCTCATAAAAATTTAAATATAATTTTTTTATTATAATGTTTTTCTCATATATTAAACTCAAGTTCTTAACTCAAGTTTGAGAAAAAAACATGCATAAAGTATCGGTGGTTTTTAATTTTTAACCGTTAAATCTGTATAAAAAATTATCTATTTTATATATTTTTTTTAATCTGATGTGATTTATGGAGGTCAAGTTATTATAATAGGTTTTACATTTATGGTGCAAAATTAGCTAATGATTATTATTTTTTATTAATTGTAAATTATATTTTAAATTTTGTTAATATTTTTAACATTGCTCGTAAGATAAGGTCTAATTCTAAATTAAAGTTTTTTGTTCTTAGCCGTTGGGAGTGCCGTGTGCGTTGGACGGCGGCGATTTTTATCGGCACGTCTGGTACACGTCAGAAGTTCACCTTGAACCGCGTGGCGATAAGGTTCACTTTCTGGGATTTGTTTAATTGTCTTTTTTGTTTTCATTCGAGTCAGCAACACATACCTTCAGGCTTCAGCCAAAACTATGACGAAATTTTGGCCAACGAAAATTAATGTTCTCGTTCACTTTATGAATTTAAATTTTTAATTTGAGTTTAAATATTATATTTTTTAAGAGTTTTTTATTATAACAGAAAAAATTAAATGTGATATTTTTTAAGAACTTTTTACTGTAAAAATCTAAAATTAAAAACTTAAATTGGTAAAATAAACGAGATCTAAGATTTTATTTTTCGGTTTTCTTATGTAAATAACTAAATATTACCATATATTAAGGACTTTTTATTTAAAAAAAGATAAAACTTTTCTCACAATTTTCTGAGAATAATGATTCTTACAATTATTTTTTAAGGATCTAAGATGGCATATTTAGGATAAAACATTTGAACCAACTTGTATAAAAAAATAAAAAAATAAACCAACTACTTTTTAAATACTAAAATAAACGTGACAGAAAAAGGATATTTTCACCCAGAATTAAAGTTACTTTTCTTTACTGAAAAGATTATAGTAACTTATTTATATTGTTTGGGAGATTCTCTAAACGTCGGTGTATTAATATGTTAAGTTTTTTAAATGTTAAATTTATATATTTTTTAATTTTTACGTGATTTTATATAAATGTAACAGTTTAAAAAATTTAACCTATTGATATATTAACGTATTAAAAAAGATCTCATATTATTTATAATTTGTTTAATTTAAGCAAATCCAATACAGATTCATATATTTTTCCCTTCTTCTTTTCCAGGAAAAATAAAAAACACATTTTCCCTTTAATTTCAAGTAATTTTTGTATAATATTAGTAAATTAAGTTATCCATTTAATTAATGGAAATGGATTAACATATTTTGGGACGTATTCAACTAATAAGTAAAATCACGAGGACAGTTGGAGCGGCCAGATCACTGCCACGAGACTTTCACAAGAAAACTGCAAAATCATGTATTCCATGTATACGTACGTACGTACGTACGTACGTACATACATACATATTTATATGTTATCCTGAAATCGAATATTACATAAAATATATAACAAATAATGCAATTCCTTAAAACAGATAACAAATATATTTATATATAACAAATACTTGAAAACGAATATATATTTATATGTAATCGAATATTACATAAATACATATATATTTATATATATATTTATATAACAAATACTTGAAAACGCAAAAACCAACTATTTTAATTTAACAAAACAAGAAAGAAACCCAGCATGGTCTCTGCCTAATCCCTTAAAACAGATATACTCCCTCATCTTCTCATGTCCCATTCACCCAACAATTTTTTTTTTCCTTTTAAAGTTTTGAGTTTTTGAAGTTTTTGGTAATCTGGAGAGGACATATAATCATGGCGATGAACAAGATAGGGAAGAAAGGAATTCACTATCTGCAGAAACTGAACGCCGCGAACGTTCCTTCTGATTTGTTAGAAAAGGGCCAAAATCGCGTCATCAATGCTTCTCTCACTCTCATCCGCGAAAGAGCTAAGCTTAAGGTTTTTTTTTTTTTTAATTATGTTTTCTCGTTTGCTAAGAAGATTTTTAGGATTAATTAATCCTCTGTTTGGTCCTTAAGTTTATTATGAACTAAAACAATGATGTATGTGAACGAGTTTTTAATATTTACATTTTTAATTAGTGATTAATATTGAATATAAAGATTAGGTTTGAAACTGTTTTTATTTTTTACGTTTTTTAAAAAATAAAAATAAAAACGTTAAAACAAAAAAATGAGAAATAAAAAAATAAAAATGAAAATAATTTTTTAATTTAGTATAAAATGAGTGATAAATGAAAAATAATTTTTAATTATTTTTAATTTTTATTTTTAATTTTTTTTTCTCGAACAGAGAGAGACATTAATGAGTTTTTTTACACTGAAAATAATCTATTGATAAAATTATTAAGGAGATTTTTAGTTTATGAATTAGAATAATGAGATTAGAACTATTTTCGATTTACGTGTTATTTTTTTAAAAGAAAACACTATAACGAATCATAAACCATAATTTAAATTCTGATATGAATTCTATTATTTAAAAATAATTTATGACTAAAATTGAAAACATGTTTTATTTTTATTTTTATATAAAAAATAAAATTATTTTAAAACGAGTTTTAAACGCGTCTAAAACTTTGATACGTGGTGTTAAGAATCTTTGTTTTGTTTTTGAGAGTAATTATGTGTTTGAAATTGGAATGGCAGGGAGAGCTAGTGCGTGCTTTAGGGGGTGCTAAGGCGTCGGCTACGCTTCTTGGAGTTCCAATTGGGCATAACTCGTCGTTTTTGCAAGGCCCTGCTTTTGCTCCTCCTCGCATTCGGGAGGCAATCTGGTGCGGCAGCACTAACTCAACCACTGAAGAAGGTAATCACTTTTGACTGGTGCTAATCTAGGAATATCGTGGCCCGTTTGGTTAATAGGTTAGAAACACGGTAGTTTGAAGTTTGAACTTTTGTGGTGTCAGAATTCTAAAAGAAAACATTAGTTTATGAAGAATTCTGGATGCATCTATATATGTTGAATTGATTAAGAGAACAAAAAAAATTGTTAAAAGACATGAGTTCGTTGTGAGCTGTGCAGTGGTGCTAGACACCATTGATGACTAGTAGCATTATTTCAAAAGAAAACATTAGTTTATGAAGAATTCTAGAGAAAACATTAGTTTATGAAGAATTCTTGATGCATCTATATTTGTTGAATTGATCAAAAGAACGAAAAAAAAATAATGAAAGACATCAGTGGAGTGGAGCCCGTTACTGAGTCTGTTATGAGTAGTGGTGTCAGACACCGTTAACGCCGAGTAGCATTGTTTCTCTTTTCTAATTTTGTGTAATGGCAAAGTAGGGAAGGAATTGAATGACCCGCGGGTGCTGACCGATGTGGGCGATGTCCCTGTCCAAGAGATACGTGATTGTGGTGTCGAGGACGACAGATTGATGAATGTCGTCAGCGAGTCTGTGAAGCTAGTAATGGAACAGGTAATTAGCCGGTGTTTGCGAACAAGTGCTAAAACATGTCCTGCTTTGTAATGGCATATTTCTCTTATTGCTTCTTTATTCAAATTGTCGTATAGATGAAACTTCTGATTATGTCTACACCCTTTTGGTTTAGGATCCATTTCGTCCATTAGTTTTGGGTGGTGACCACTCAATCTCATTTCCTGTGGTAAGAGCTGTGTCTGAGAAGCTTGGAGGACCTGTGGATATTCTTCATCTTGATGCTCATCCTGATATCTATCATGCCTTTGAAGGAAACAAGTACTCACATGCATCATCTTTTGCCCGGATAATGGAGGGCGGTTATGCTCGGCGGCTTTTGCAGGTACATTTTGATCTGTGGGCATATCATGAGTTAAGAAATTGGTAACTCGTCCATATTTCTGCCACTGTTAAATTCTTCGTTTCGTGCTGAGCAAAAATTTAGATGCTTGCTTGATTGATAATATTAGAATTCGTATAGCAAGGATTTGGTAGAGTAGTACTTGTTCCACCTTATATTTTCTCCTTATCTTACCTTTTTACGTGTTAGAAAAATGAAAAATTTCATGTACCTATTATCATGAACATTTTGACTTTACATTCACATAATATTATTACTTTTTGGGAAGTTATTTTTGACTCTTATCTTGAGAAAAAAAAAAAAAAAAGGTTTAACGGACTAACTTATCTGTATGTAGATATTTGTTCTGTTTTAGTTCCTGAGCAGCATCCTGGTTACTATGCGCCTAAAGAAGTTGATTTCTGATTTTTTTTTTCTCTTTTTTCTTAAGGTGGGAATTAGATCAATAACAAGTGAAGGGCGTGAACAAGGCAAAAAATTTGGTGTGGAGCAATATGAAATGCGAACCTTTTCAAGAGATCGTCACTTCCTCGAAAATCTGGTCTCCTTAAGTCTTTTCTTTTTTTCTCTCCATCATTGTTAAAACAGGTGATTCTAAGTCACAAATCTAACTGAGTGTTCCTTTTGACAGAAATTAGGAGAAGGCATTAAGGGCGTGTATATCTCGATAGACGTAGATTCTCTTGATCCTGCCTTTGCTCCCGGTGTGTCTCACATTGAACCCGGCGGCCTCTCTTTCCGGGACGTCCTAAACATCCTCCACAACCTCCAAGGTGACGTTGTTGCGGCGGACGTGGTGGAATTCAACCCGCAGCGTGACACTGTCGATGGAATGACAGCGATGGTTGCTGCTAAGCTTGTTAGAGAATTGACTGCAAAAATATCAAAATAAAAAATAACAATATTGATTAAAAAAAAAAAAAAGTCCTCATCTTCCTTTCATACCTCCATACAAGAACTTTGGTTCAACTATGAGAGGGAAGTCAAGTCCCTTTTCTTAATGGCAAAGATTTTTCTTTTGTCACCCCTTTTAGTTTCATTGAAGATCTCTAATGGAGTCAAAACATTTCAAGTTATTATTAGCCGCCTTTATCATTACTCTGATGTTTTTTTTTGGTACTTGAATGCATATATATGTATGATTATATATATATATATAGCTCATTTGAAATCACCAAAGATTTTATAGTTTCTTCCTTTGAAACATCATAAAGGGGCATAAACATGAAAAGGCCTCATCTTTGAACTATAACATTCTTTTGTTAATTCTCGACTATTTCTGGCTAAGGAAATTGATATCCTCAATTTACTTGTGAGTTTGCTGCGACAGAACTTTCAGAAACCCTTAAAACCAGTCCCTGTGAAGAAGTAGCAAGAAGCTGCGAGATTCAAGGCTCAATTTGTGACCTCCTTTTCACTTGCCCCGTCTCGCTTCTCCAACGATATGGACTTGTAGCGCTTAGCGCATACAACGTACAGCAGAAAGTTTAGTGCAGCCAAAGCAGCTGACACAAAGAAAAACCTATCTAGATGACCATCATTCAGATTAGGAGGAACCCAACCGGGCTTCCCATTCTTTGAAGTAATCTTCATCACAATTGTTAGAATTGTGCTTGCAACATAACTTCCCATAGCTGAAGAAGACATGGACAAGCCTATTCCTAAGCTTTTCAACCCGTCGGGTGTTTGTGAAGCGAAAAACTCCATTTGTGCAACATATACGAAAGCTTCGGAAACTCCCACGAGTACGTACTGTGGTGTCTGCCATAAAATGCTCAAAGAGCTTATCTCTTTTCTGACGAAGTTGGTTGTGTATCTTAGCCTTTGTTGCTCAACTATGCCGGCAATTATCATGGCAAGTACTGCAATGGTCAGGCCAATTCCGATCCTTTGCAGCGGACTTGGAATCTTTGGCTCTCGTTTTGTTAGTTTGATATATAAAGGAACGATGATCTTGTCGTACAGCATGATGAAGACGGATGTGCTGACAATGTCGAATACTGTCATGCTTGCTGGAGGGATGTGAAAGTTTGAGACAGTTCTGTTCATGGCGGCTCCTTGTTCCACGAAAAGAGAGAGCATTTGGATGAACACTACAGAGGAGAAGATGGTGCAAAGCCATACCGGTAAGAGCCTTAATACACACTTCACCTCTTCAACCTGAGTAACTGTGCAAAGATGCCATGGATTCGGAGTTCGTGCTTCATTCCTTATCAGTTTCATGTCCTCCGGCATGATTATTGCAGCCCGGTCAAGAAACCTGTTTGTTAACAAAACAAGTATAGTGCTCATTACTTTGTTTTGTCATGAACCTAGGAAAGAATATAGACTTTATAGATATCATAAGTAGAACATTGGCATTTCTTGTTCAATTTGTAAAGAACTTCTAATGCAAATTAGAACTACTTACTTGAAGCCTTGGGTGTGAAGAATCCTCCTCATACCATTTGTTTCACCCTCTTTTCCATGGACTTCATAAAGCTCTTCCTCATTTGAGGGCAGATTTTGACTTAATTTCCTCATGGAAGCCACTATTACTTGAGAGAATCTAGAGATGGGATTCCCAGAAGGCTTGAAGTGTCTATATCTCAAAGTCCCGCTTAATAGAAATACATACCCAACAACAGCCGATATAGTACAAGTCCAAAAAGCCACTACCCAATACCCCATGTTCTCTATATAAACCAAAATCGTCTCGGCGACCAAGCTTCCAAGGTTTAGAGCCACATAAAAGTAGCTGTAAAATGAGGCCTTAGACCGTTTTTCCTTCTGATCTTCCTCGTCGAATTGGTCTGCGCCAAACGTAGCCAGTGCAGGCTCAGAAGCTCCGTTTCCCAATGCAATAAGGTATATTGACATATAGAAGATTGCGCTTTCAAGTGGTTTATGCGGCTCGCATACCTCGCCAATTTTGCCGCAGCCATGAGGTCTTATTAGAAATAAGTTGGCTGACATGGACAATACTATTAATCCCTACCAAAAGCCGAGAAAAAAATAATCCACTCAATATGACATTCATATGTTGTCAAGTCATCACAAAATGAAGGGAGAGAGCAATCAGAAAACTTACAATTATGTAGACAACTTGAAAGATGACACAAGTTATATATCTTCCCAAGTAAGAATCACTAAGAAATGCACCCATTAAAGAGAATAAGTAGACAGTTCCCATCCACGTGCTAAATGTATGTGCTGCCTCTGCGTTGGAGTGCCTCAGAACTGACTTTGAGAATAGAACCAAATTCACTTCAACCCCGGCAAAAGCCAACGTAATCAGTCCTTGATTCACTGTCGTTTTAACAGAAGCGACACATAAACAATCCATAAATTTAAAAACATAATTGAAATTGAGCACTTGGTTGAGTTTTATCATTCCATGATGTTCTAATGGTCCCATTCAAGCTTTTCAAAATTAGAAATTCATCGATAATATGAACACATTTTACACATGGTTAAACAAAATGTTATGTTTAAGAAGAGCAATGACCATGAAGAAAGTACCTAACAACAACATTCCACATCTCCATCCACCGGTCCTCCCTTTCAAAGCCGGTTTTCCATGGCGATCAAGTGAACCATCTTTTGTGCATGCATTCTCAAGTCTCTCTTGGCCATTCTCCAACTGATTGAGCTCAACCATCTTTCAAGAAAAAAACAATATTGCAAAATTTCAAAACAATAGTACTTTTACTTGCATATAAATCATGAAAATTTGGCAATTTCATTGTACGAGTTACTGCATACAGTAGAAAGATCAAAAGCATTCAATGATGGTGACATGAAAAATTCAATCAAGTAGAGGATGTGATGTGGCCATCAAGTGATTTGTCGGCACTTAAAGGTGATCACTTTCCATTAATAAATTACTATTATCTCTCTTTCTCTTTGTGAATTATTCTCATGCCTATGATCATGTAGCTTAAAAAATCAAACTATTTTGTCCATTCCCACAATATCAAAACAATAAAACCCCTAAAGTTAAATTAGACTTAGGTGTTTTCATGAACTAAAATTATATAGCTTTTACTTGATATGTTATTTAAAAACGGCTCTTTGCCGTTTGGCACAGTTTTTCTACTTTTCTTTTTGGTCAGTAGAAGAAGAGAAATATTAGTTGCTGCTTTCGGTTAAGTGTTTGTAACCATAATTTAAAAGAGTTTAATGGTTTTAAAATTTTTTAATAAGCAATAAAAATATTAAGATGAAGATTATAATACCTTAATTAAATTCTGGTATTTAAGTTTCAAAGTAATTTTTTTTCTTTTTCTTTTTTAGAATTCATATTTTATGATTTTGATTATAAGTTATTTTGGAGAACCAAACGCTTTTAAAAGAACATCTAAACACTCACAGAAACAGTAAATAATTTAGAGAAGTAAAAAAACAGCTTCTAGAAAGCTCAGCTAAACAGACTTTTCAAATCCACTTGTCACATAATATTGTTGTAATTAGTTAATTACTGTCATCTCACCCTTTTTCTCTGTAAATTATTCTCATGGTCAAATCACTAATGATCATGTACGAAGTGAGAGTCAAACTATTTTGTCCATTCATCCAATATTAAAAAACTAAAAGAACAAAAAGTTAAAACTAGACTTCTTAGGTGTTTTCATGAACAAAATTACCAACAAAGATTGTATGAAGATTTTCACAACATACATTGAGATAAAGTAATCTTTTCCTTCCCTATGATGAATTCCTTGAAATGTACCCAGTTTGGCAGAAAGAAAAACGACAGGAAATTAACCTTAAGAAGAAAAAGAGAAGCAAATGTTGAAAACGACATCTTCACATTACCTTGAAGTTGTTACAAAGTACTGAAGTCCCATTAGAACTTGCTTCCGGAGCCATGGCCGCTTTGTGATGAACTTAGTTTTGAGAGATAGAGAAATGGGTCGGTCGGTGAATTAAGATAACATATATATATATATATACACACACACACACACACACAATATATATCGCCATAAAAAGTCTTGAAACATCATTTCTAAGTTGTCACACAAAAAAAGTGACATGGACCAACTACTGTACCCCTGGATTTATACAAGCATGACATGTGTCATCATAGCAGTCCACTTGGAAGGAATTGTATTTAATACTTTATTCAACAAACAAGGTCATTCCATTCCAAGACCCTCCTTAAATGCAGTCATAAATAAGTGCAATCTAAAAAAAATCCCATTTCCCAAATCCGAATCCACCATAATATGTGTTTGTGAATATGACCAACACCAAAAAGATAAGCCCATTGTTTTGTCTCTTGATTCAAATAATTTAGGACCAAAAGATATGATATTATTAGATCGGATAATATATATAATCCCCACTAAAGTTTTTTTTTTTTTTTTTTTTTTTT